AACGTGATTCTAATATGGGTGAACTAAAATGACGGCAAATTCATGACTGAATATGCTGCTTTTGGATGGCTCATGACCCACTTTTCATGCAGAGCCAGCTTATTGGCCTGTTGTCGCATTTAATCTCCTTTTCCGTTGTGAGTGGATGTGATTATTCCTCGATTCCCTTATTTTGACCCTGTACTTCTAACTGTGTGTGTGAATGCACGGATTAAACCCCCAAAACACACTATTTTAGGGAAAAATGTGACCTTTTCCCTGGGCATTGAAGCACCGACAATTAGAAATAAATAATGCGTGTACTTTAAAATCAAAGAGGAAGAAAATACCTGCAAGAATTTTGCTTGAAAGAAGTAAAAGTAAGGAAGAAATGTCCTTGTTTAATGATTGGTTAAGGAGAACAGCTTTATCCCATTGAAAGTGTGAAAGAATTTCTTCCCTAATTTCTTGCTGCTCCGTATCAATTCAGAAGTGTTGAGATGCTTTGGGTCGAAATCACCGTAATGTCGCCACCCTTTCTAAAATGCGGATTTACGAAGGGTCGGTAAGGTTAAGCCTCAAATGGTCATGTATCGAAGACATTTACCGCAAACATCACTCGCTACTTTAATCAGAAGGCATCCCAAATCCACATTCTCCACCTTTGGAAGAACAAACAAATCGCTCTTGGCTGTTAGTTACTTTTATTAGAATGAGAAAAAATGGACGAGACTGTCCATTCTGCCATATCCCCCTCAATTTCTTGGCGCAAAAGTTCATCCAACAAGGTTTTATCGTTGAGAGGTGGAAATTTGCACGCTCCAAACGCGGTAACCCACTGAATTCAAACTAATAGGGCCCCGCAAGGGATCGGGTTTGGGAGGGAGGTAAAGAACAGGAGGGTTACACACTCGCTAACACCCTTCATCACCCACTCCCCTGAGTCAAGAAGGATGTAAAGTGAGGTGTGGAGGCTCGCCAGACACACAATGGATAGTTTTATCCATCCAGGTGTTTTCCAGCTCTCTTTATTGCCTCGAAGAGGTGCGAAAAGAGGAGAAAAGGTGATAAAAAAAGGAGTCCGTCTTGTCACAATTTGACTAGAGGTGAACAAGGTGCAAGCTTTCTCTTCTCTTTTTTCTCTTCTTTTCACCTTTTCCTGTACTAATACACTTGTAACGGGTGTCAGTGCCAAAGGTTGTCAGATTAGATCAGATCAGTTCACGGATTTACCTTCATCTTTGCACCTCTTTGGGTGTTTTGCGCCAAGTTTAACTTCCTGTGTTATGCTGAGACGAGTGCAAAGAAAGTGGCGAAAAAGGGGAAGAAGAAGGAGGAGAATGCAAAGTAGACGATAAAGTGATTGACCTTGAGACATCCTTATTCCTTAATGTAGCTGAGTATAGCCAATGGGCTTAGCGCCCGACCACGACATTCCACCTTCAGTCGATGAAGGCGTAGCTCAGTTGATTCTTCATTCATATCAGACATTTTTAAGCTACTTTTTTCTTGGAAAATAGTCACTACGCTTTGGTATGTCATAATGGAGTGACATGTACTTTTAAGGACTAAGAAGTGATTGCGAGACCTCCTTGACAGGCACATGAATGGTAATTAGTACGACGGTATTTCACGCCTTTTTCAATTGGTACTCAGTAAAATTGTTGACAAGCTAACAAAGTTGACAGGTTCCAATTAGATTCACTCAGTATCCATCCATCCACACCACCATCTATCAATCGACCTCTGATTTCTCATTTTTTTACCACAAGAAAATAACCTTCTAGGTAAGTGATATTCCCTTTTGAAGTCGTAGTATTTTATGCCACTAAACAGACGAAGAAGAGGAAGTGTCAGCAGGTGGGTAGTTACAAGTAAAGAACTAAGAAAACCGCACCCGCTGGCTAAATGTAGATAGCAACATTTGCCATTCTATGCTATCTGACATTTGTGACAGGTATGAATCGTCGAAGTTCACGCAGTCATTGCATCTTCACCGTGATCATTGAACAGAGGTGTGTTCCGCTCAATGAAACTGTGACAAGTCGACTAAGTCTGGTGGACTTGGCAGGGAGTGAAAAGGTCTCCCAGACACGAACAATGGGTAACACTCTGAACGAGGCTAAGGACATCAATCGATCGCTGTCAACGTTGGCAAATGTCATCAATGCCCTGGTGGATGGGAGCGTGAGTAACGCTGCATGTCAAGTGTCAATTTTTGATGTATTTTTATTAGCAGCTCTTAAACTGCCAGTTCTATGGCGAGACATCAAATCACAATGTTGGCTCTGAACTGTTTAACAAGACGCGCTAAGTATATTACTTGCCGAAAATAAGTAGTATTTAAATCTAAAGAAGTCAATTTTTTCCTTATTCCCTAATGTAATTGTTACCAGAACATTAATGGTAAGTTGACTTTAAAGAAAGACGCTAAAAAAGTCTTTGAAATGACCTTTCAGAAGAGCAGATTTTATGTTCTGACCTGACTAGTCTTGAGGAAAGGGACACCTCATGGGCTTGGTGGTAGATGGCGCGTAAGATAGGCGCGTGGGTTGACTTTTTCACCGTTCTATGATCTCCCTGAAAGTGTAGTACGGCAAAAGCGAATTTATTATTAATGGTTACAGTAAGGTGGTAGTAAAATCTAGCCGGAGTACAACCTGTGGGAATTGGAGAACCCACGCGAGTTAATGGCGCAAATAAAACAAACCATCAAATCACTGCGTAGTCCTCGTTTACTTTTGTCGTCGCCGTGGTCACTCGCCTGAAAGCCTTGAGGTATTAATTGTCTGGCAAAATCGAATGTAACATACTGAATCTGATTCGGGGAGAGGATACTACTTATTGCCCAGCCGATCAGTAGTATCTTCACAAGGTAATTGTCAGTAGACGGATATTATCTGTATGCAGTTGTTTAGGCATCCATTCGGCTCAGATTTTCCTGTTTATCTTCTCCAGTGTTCTTCCTTCTTTCTTCGGTACGAATAGCACCCCTTACAACAGTGCATTAATTCCCCACTCCTTCGCCCATTCCCTGCTAGAAAGTTTTATCCCTGCACGAGTTGAAGTAGATGAATTAATCCTCGTGTCGCGCATTTTTCGCTCCAACATCATGCATATCATTAGATACTAGTCTTTCTACTTTGGTGTAACTTCTAGGCTGACTTCATCTTGTCAAACAAAAAACATTTGCAAAGCATATTCGAACAAGAAAAAATGACTTTTCCTTCGTATACTCTCAGTTCCTCTCGCCTTCCCCCCACCCTCCTTCTAATCGTCGCAATTTATCCTGTAGCGTCACGTACCCTACCGAAATTCCAAACTAACTCGAATCCTGCAACCATCTCTGGGTGGAAATGCCAAGACAATTATTGTCATTTGTGTTTCGCCGTCAGAAGCCAACGAATCGGAGACCAAGTCCACCCTACATTTTGGAATGCGAGCCAAGAGATTGAAGAATGAGGTGAAACGCAATTTTGCAACGAAGACTAACCAATGGAAACGCCTCTACGATAAGGAGCATGAATCAGTCTCCCTCCTGAAGAGTGTAGTCGGTCGTCTGGAGAGCGAAGTCGGACGTTGGAGACGGGGCGAAATAGTGCCCGGTTGTGAGTGGTTCAAACCTGAAAAGTACATCTCTGCATCCAATTTTTCTATCAACTCGTCTGCATCGGTAAATGCGAACTGCCTAATCACTTCTTGTCAGTAGATGGTATTCTATCAACTATTCCATACTTCCAGAATTTTTGCGGACGTGTACAGGATGAGATGAGCCGGGAGTTGAAAGAGAAGGAAGCTCAAATTTCGCGTCTCCAGGAGGAGAATAGTCGGCTACAATCAATGATAGCTGATTTGAGACTCAATGAAATCAAAAAGTCAGCTTCCAAATCTCAAGACGACTGTGGTGTCCTAAAGGTGAGTAGGTGACGATGGTATTCGGTAATGCCTTAGAATGAGTTAGACCTGAAGCAGAGGCAACTTCGCGACCTGTCCAAAGTGATGGAGGACTTCGCCTTAAGACTGGAGGCAAAATCGCGGCAAATGGGGGAGTTGATGGAGGAGGTGAATGGGCTCAGAGCTACCCTAAAACAATACCACAACCGAGATGAACTTGAAGTGGTGAAGCTAAAAAAGGACATTACCAAGGAACTGCATGACATTGCTTCCAAACTGTACCGTGTCGGTAAAGTCTGGGTGCCTTCCATTCCAGTAAGTTCTCACTCCTTTCTTGCCTGCTACAGAAAAATAAGTTGCCGCACTTACTTGTTTAAATGCAGGCAGGAGAAAAGGCGCTAATCCAGTTGTACAATACTCCTCGCCCACACTTTTCATCCCACTCTCTTCTCACTAAACAGCCATGGTTAAAATCTAGTGGATGTGGTTTGAGGCCTACAGATTTGATGAAACCCCTTCCCCTTCATCAATTCCTTGCTTTGTCAGGCATTTGGAGAATGATTGGTGGGCAGCGACAGATTGGTTATAGACGTATCACGGTTTTTTTTGAAAATAACAGAGCATTGCCTATCACTACTGACAGATTAATGGGTTAAGAGCTTGGCTGATATGTTTACCGTGATCAATAACATGCATGAGAGGGTTGTGGACACCACCAAGTGAATGTGTGTCATGTGAAGGGGTGCCAAAAAAATGACAATCAGGTCAAAAGCGATATCTGATTAGCTTGTGGTGCAAGGTGACCTCTGTAGTCCAGAGGTAGGCGAGTGGTCATGCCCTAGTCAGCTCTTTAAACTATCTGCCGCTCACTGTGCTCGCTTATCATCTAAATTAGTGAGTGTGTGGAAGAAATCTTTCTGCTTCAAAAACAACCAAATTGTTTAGGAGTAGCCATTCGGTTGGGGAGAAGTTCCGTGAGAAGATTTAGAGGATACGACCTCACCCTCTCGACTTCTCCCTTCTTCACCTGATTCGAAGAAAGCTTGTATCCCCGAGAGAAGAGGATGCAACTGTCTTGACCACCTTATAGGTTTACCCTTCTACCCACGTTTTTAGAAGTACCTGAAAATACTCGGTCTGTAAATTATTTTCCCTCATCTCTCAGCGTAGTTAAGTCACACATTCTTCCACAAAACCCCCCACCCCACCTATCCTCCCCTTCCCCCATGTATTCAACTTTCTCTTTTGATATGATTTAGGAAGTTTTAACTTCCGTAATGATATTAAATATATTATCATACTAAAATGGTTTTATTTCTCAGAAATTAAGTAACTTATTGAGCTCCTACTGGCTACCACTCATTCAGCCTCCCTATTGGTTAGTTTCTAGGTCACTTATAAAAATTGGTATTCTGTCTATTAGTTAATTCATTTCTGTTTTTTTTTTTAAAAAATCGGCCTCAAAAATTGCCTATTAATGTTAAGGATAGATGTTTGGAGTACTCGGAGGACGTGTTGGAGGACCAATTGGCGTATATGCGGTTCACCTTAAAGTGCCTCGGGGACACAGGCACTACGGTGGAGGTCAAACCTTCAAACGATTCAAAAACGATGCCCCAACAAAATGTTAAGAAGGCAAGTTGACGCCAATATGGGAAGAAGTCTGTTGTTCCAAACAAATTTGTCCCCCATCTCCCCTTTAAAAAGTATTTTAAATAATTTGAAAATAGGTAAAGGGGAATTCGGAACCAAAATAACGCATTAGCGCGTTTTTTGTTCGTCTAAATAGGTGGTAAATAAATCTGGGGTGTTTTTTGGACCAAACGATTTATACTACTCTTAAATATTGGGTGTGACCCTGAGATTTATGTGGTTTTGACTTCTTGCGATATTTTATGGCAAAAAACTTTTCGCAACAGGAGAAATATACTCGTAGAAACTTTACTGACTTTGCAAAGGCCCAAATAAAAGGTGCCAAAGTAGCTGCAAGTGTAGAGTCTGAAAGGGTGACAAGACCCCTACTTCAGAGAGTTGTGACCTCGCATGAAGGCGGATTTGTGGCTGACCTACAAGAATACGGCTGCCAATTTATTCTTCGGGTCGTCACATCATCAAGACGGAGAAGGAAGAGTTCGCGTAGCTAACCGAGTCAGAGGGCGGACTAGAAAAAGAGCATATTGTGGAGACCATGAAGGAAGGAGGACGGCCTGCAATTAGTCCTGTCTGGACGTCCGCTCTCTGTCTTTGCAGTTAAGCCTAAGAGCCTTCAATGATGAAGGATCAGAGTCGCCTCACAAATGTCCCCATCAAAGAGGGTGTTCCACTCCACTTTTTACAGGGCATGGGTGAACAGAACGCAGAAATTCTGGTACTCAAAGAAAAAGAAATTTGATATTACACCAGCACACGCGCACAAAAAGTTATTTTCTATTTTCTGTAAGAAATTAACGATTTTATCCAATTTGACAGAATAAATTGTTTTATTCTAGGTATCCTTTTGTGACCCTGAAACTGACCAATACGCTGTGAGAGGGGAGGAAAAGGAACCAATCAACAGAATGGGCGATTGTACAACAGAGCATCCTCGATTTGTCGAGGATCTAAGAACAATTTTTCAAGTTATTTCAAAAAAGAGCAAAGTAAAGGAGGCATGGGTTTCCTGATTTACTTTTTTGTCACAAGAATTAAATGTGATTGAAAGGCAAAAAAACAAATTCGCCTAATGACGGATTTATGCTTTTATGGTGGATTTTTTTTCCAGTCTTCCGTGGATACAGAGAAGGGATTTATAAGGAATCTCTTAGGTGACATGAACAGTGTGCCACGGCGTGTGAAGAGATTCTGCCTCTAAGCAGATGGGCGAAGTCAATGTTCCCTACGTGCCTGCGTGGTGGCTGGCCGATTGATGTTCGGAGGCACGGAGTAGTCCATGCCGTCGCATTTGTCTCTCCGCACCAGTCAAGAAGAGCTTAACAGGTAATGTTTTTGAACATTTCAGAGAAGAGGAAACCTCCAGATTGTCGAGCAGAAACGCGTTTCAGAGGGAGGGAAGGCAGGGGATGGCTGCTTCCTTCAAAGTCTACAGAGCTGGAACGCAGCTTCTGCTGCTTTCAACCTGATTGAAGGCGAGAGGCTAAAATTACTCCATTTAGGTCCTTCAATCGACCTTTTTTAAAAGTAGGAAGGAAAGGTGGTAGGTACCTCAGTACTGACACACTAACACATGTGACAATGGTGGTTCACACAATCAATCCCATACATTTGACAAATTTCTGTAACTTCAGGGGAAAAGCACCAAGGCCGTGTCTACTCACCTACTCTTAAACTCTCTTTCCTTTCCCCAAACACCCGTCATGACAGCTCAAACGATTAAATTCTTAGGTTATAGGCCATCCTCCGGGCATCATACCTGACTATTTCTCTAGTAAAAAGACAGTCCAAAATCCACAAGACTTGGAACCCTCCTCCCTCTATAGTGGCACCTTCCTCATGATAGGCATCAAAATGTTGCCCCTCCCCTTTATTCTGCTCCTTGCTATGACTTCTTGGCAAAAAACTACTTGAAAGTGGAAACACAAACCCTCCAGCCTTTTTAGATGGTGGTTCAGGGTAGTGAAGAAAGTGGTCGCGGCCTCCATAAATTCTCACAGCATCTCCTTCATAAGTCAATTACACCCGATGCAACATAAACCCAGCTTGTGGAACTCGCCGCTGCTTCGATCATTGTGAGGGTAAATTGGTGTGAGCAAAATTGTCGACCTTAAAGCATAAACGTCCCCGAAAAGGAATGTTTCCATGAGTAAGGGAAAAGAGGTAGAAAATCAAGTGAGAGTTACCGCAGGCTCTGGATGGATGGGTGGGTAAGAGATAAATACAGAATGGGTGAATGGATTGATGGGTAGGGGATGGAGGGTTGGGCATGTATTCCGTGAGTTCTGTAAATTGTAGACAGATGGATCAGTTGATGATTAGGCAGCTACAGGCCGCCTTCGAATCGATAAATTGGTAGATGAGGCACCAGGAGAGTGACAACCAACCCTCATTTACAGAACAATTACTCCAATTAGGCACCATCTGAGGTCTTGGCATTGTGCGCGCACACACGCACACACACTCGCAAACACACGCATACACATGCACACCATCGCATGTCACAGAGGCAAATAATTTGATTAGCTGACTTTATCACAAATTACATCTAATTAGACGAACTATTGCACAGTGGATACCGAGGCACTGTTGTAGAGGCAGCAGTTAGTCGCCATTCACTTACCATTGGTAATGGCTTCCATGTATAAGAAGGACGCTAATCAAATTGGCCTCCATCATCGCCACCGTCATCACTCAATGCCACACCACGCCACGGAGCCCATTCATCAGACCCCACACGACTCCAAAGGCATGACCAACAAGCACGTCCATTGGTCTCAATACGCCGATGAAATCTCCTATTTCACCATACAAGATGTAGTCCGTTTGGCCGATTCCAGTGATGACGACTACTTCTCCGACGAGAATGTGGAGGTTGAGGAGCCCTTGAAGGAGAAACGCAAACACGAGAAAGAAATCTTCATACATCCAGATTTTTGGAAGGCAGTAGATAATGCAACCTCGCAATCACAGCCACCGTTATCACCACCACCACAATCACCACCGCCTTTGGATTTGAGCGGAAAAACCCGCTTCCTTCCAGTGTCCGAGACGGACTCCACGATCAGTGATGATAGCAACTTCTTCGACGATCCAAAATACGTCGAGAAGAAGCGATCCCTGTTCTTGAGGAAGTCACAGTCTCCAGCCCCCAAAACTCCCAAACATGAGAAGCATCTAGACCTGAAAACGGAGAAGGAGAAGAAGAAAAGGAAGAAGGAGGAAGTAGAGATGGGGGACGCGGATAAAGAAGCAAGCAGCAATGGCAAGGCACAACCAAAGAACGAGGAGAAACCTCCAGTAGTGCCCAAATCACCAGAAGGCATGGTTGAACGTCCAAATGGTGCCAAAAAAATGCAGAATAGTTATTGGATTTCGCCACAAATTTACCTCTTCAAACGCAATGCTACATCAGCAAGAGGTGACTATGCAAGAGGCGTCAAATCGCCTGTGGAAAGTGGAAAGATGGCGAAGAGAAGTGAAATATCCAGTTCCACAGGACGTCGACGTGTGAGGCATTTCAGTGACTACCTCTATGAACCACAATCACGCTCGACGTCAAGGACGCGAGGGGTAGGTGTTGCCGTGGTTAAACCGCCTCTAGCCACGTTTCAGAGCAACCATAACGCTGTGGAGAGCACGCTCCATCGAAAACACTCCAAAAGCCGCTTTGATTACATCACGGAGAACATGAAACCCAATCTTCCAAAGGTGCCACCAAAACCGAAACGATCTACAAGTAAAACAATAGTAGGTCCTCATTTAATTGTTTTTTTCCTAATTTAGAAACCTTCCGAAAAGCATTCGTCAAAGGCGTCCAAAAAATCACCCCATTCACATCATTAGTGCTAATGCTAGCAGACGAAATGGCATGGCTACCTTCTCCTCTTCTTGCTCTTTATCATCATTGCCATCATCACGGTCAGCATGATCAGTGTTGTGATGACTGCTGTCAATGCTACTATCATTAATTTTATTTTTGCCCTCATTGCATTCTGTGCGAAAAAAACGAAGTGAGTTTCGATTTCCCAGTTTGTTATGCGGGAGAAAAGGTGCGCACCAAAAATGATAAACGACCTTCCATGAAACCCAAATGCAATTTCAAATAGTGCTTCACTTTCTGCTGCATACCAGACCATTTGAGGGACTTTTAATTGTAACTGTAGTTGTAATTCTCAAAGAAATTCAATGATTGGTTTCTCTTTCGCTTGTTGCACTTTATAATTTCGAGCCTAAAAATAACGTTCCATTATTTCGATTTTATTCGTAATCACAGAAATATAACTGCAAACTGCATTTCTTGTTTTGTGATCGTGAAATTTGTTGATTTTATTGTGTTTTTCTAGTTAAGATTCCTATCTAAAGGCTTTTTTGATTGACCTTTATCTTATTTTAATCAATTGCCGCAATGATTACATAGAGAAATGCTGAAGAGGGGATTGCGGTAACTTAGCCCATTCAATATTATTTATCTCTGTTAAAATGCCAGAAATATGCAGTTCCTCTTTCTTGATTTGTAAGTTTTCTCCAATAAATAAGACTTAAAATGAGGGGTCGCAGATTTTCGGAATGACGATGCTTTACTTTGCAGACAAAATCTACATTTTCCTCATCCTTTAATCCATAGTTTTTGAATATAAGGAAAGTTGATTCTTCTGTAGAGAAAATGCATAGCCTGCTCAGAACTTTACTTGTGGGATTGAGTTTTCAGGGGGTTAGGTGTGATTTAAATGCTCATAAAAATTCTCCATTTTTGGATGGCTTGTTCTGAGAATGTTGCACCGGTATGGTGCCAAATTCTCCTGTGAAATTTATGATTCCCACGTTTAACTGGGGTTTGTGAAATGGGTAAAGTTAAGTGGGTTGGGAGGGAGGGGAATCAATTTATCTTTGACAGTTTTTAGACGCATAAATTAAGTGGATTGGCTAATTTAATATAAACATCTCCACCCTGTGAAGTGTCACTATCTATTGTAATAAAATATCTCACGAAGACATTTGATGAACAGTGATGTCACACACGCACCGAGTTGAAAGTGAGTGGTTAGTTGGGTGCAAGTGAAATGAAGGGTACGAATAATTAACGAGGAGTGTTTTAGAAGAAGACCCTCTGGTTCATCTCCTTCATTAATGATTATTAAGCACGTAGGCAGATCGGCACGAAAAGTGGTTTCACATTGGTTGCTTTTGCAGAGTGTGGTGGGAAATAAATGCATCGGCTTTTGAGGGTATTAAATCCGTAGAACACAGACTTGTTTAAATCAGTCGCCCTAGAAACAAAACGTAGAATTCTTTTTCCTTTTAAACAATGTGGGGCAATAAGAATGCTTTAGGAAAAGTTGCGGCTTTTTAAATGATTAAAACCGTTGTTTGCTTGGTTACTATTCTTGTCTACAACAGAACCCCTATAGGAAAATACAAGTGATGGCTTAAGTCTTCTAACAAACTTCATACGGACTTTTCAAACGCAGCACTTTAGTACGATCTACATCTGGATGCCTAAAGAATTGGCAATCCTAATTACTCCTGGATTGCATTAGCTATGTGAAAAAGAGTAAAACTATATTCAAACAATGGGTACCTTCCTCAAAGGAAATCGGTAGACCCAGGGTTTGTCGGTTACGCCCAAGACTCGCGTATGTAAATGTACCTGGGAAATAAGCAGTTGGCTGTGGCAGAGCGATGAGATAGTTGGTCCACTTCTCTAGTACTCGGAAAGGTCATACAATAATGGGCGTCCCCATTACATATCACAGTAAGAGGGGGCAAGACGTCAGAGTCTCCCGATCAGTTTTCCATTCCTTTAGGCGAATGAGGACTTATGAAGATAAATAGCCTTAACATCATTGCTCACTCCCAGACGACGCCCGAAATCTCCAGAATATCCCCATGCATTGCATTTGCATTGATGATTATATGTGGTGTGCCTCACATTCCACAATCCATCTACACGATCCAGGCTCGTATGTGGTCAATAAAACCATCTTTTTCGAAACCAATTGGGACTGACTAATCTGTTGGAAGGATTTCTCATTACTTACTATTACAAGGCCCCTCAAGACCTCTCTTCATCCCCTCTACCCTTAAGGCGGAATTCCCAAATAGTATCAATGATCGCCTTTTTCTTTGACGGATGATTAAAGCACAAGTTTTACCATTCCGACCGTCCTTGAGTTCCCAAAGTTGCACAAATTTAAAATGCTCAAGGGAAACTCCTTTTTTCCCACTTAATTCCTATTTAATTTATTTCGCTGCTCCAGCAATTCCCAAATTTAAAGTGCAATTAAATACTGGTGGATGCTACTTATATAATATAAATAGCACCGAGATGGGTGACATGAGTGAACACGATGCGTTCGCTGAGGGCACTCTACCTTCGATTCATGAATGTTGAACTTTTTTGCATATTTTAAAAGGAAAACAAGTCAGCTACTGGGGTATTTTTGAATAAATGGCACATAAAATATCCAAACATACCATTAAAAATGTAAATTGGCACTCGGCCAAGCTGGTTTGGGTGCTAGTATATCTCAGCGGGTTATAGTTACAATTGCGAGGGCTAAAGAATGAACTCAGAAACCAATAAAAGGAAACAGGAAACCATTCTTCTTTGAAATTCGAGAAGGAGCAAAATCACAACCGGTTAAACAAAGGTAACGTCAAAACTTTTTCTTCCGATTTAACATAGTGCCTCAGAAACCTGCTCCACTATTGGTTAAAAATTGGCCAATCATCACGTGACATTTCATCTTACAAATGGCATGCGTATAAATTGCTTTTAGAGCTGTCACAGCACACTAGCGTGTCAACAAATGTACTTTCAACGTAGCTTGCACTAAGAAAATATCATTGACATTTTCGGACTTTCTTATTTGCCCTTTATTTGAATTGGAACTTGGACCCTACTTTTATGAGTTTTAAGAGCATTCAAAAGAATTTCACACTTTCACTAAGTAGGTTTATTTCCTTTAATGAATACAAAGAACTGCTTTTTTTGCATTGAAGAAAGGAAAAAAAGCGCACTGGACTAACATGATTAGCCGATAATGGCACCCCGAAGCCCATTGGTTCTGAATGCAACCAATCATAAATTTGCTGGAACTTTATTGACTTTGCCTCACTAAGCTCCCTCGTGTTTGTAGTTAGCCATCACAGTATACAAGAAGAGGTGTTATTAGCCGGTAAGAGGACTAGCTGGAAGGTAATACTGTCATGATGACAAGACTGAAACTGCTCACGCTTTGGCGATGTCCGTCTCTTGTCAGCTCACTGGTGTCGTCTTTGTGTGGTGCCACCCTGTTTAACCCAATGGTAAACAAATAGCCCTAGAGAGTCGATTTCGCATGAGCTGTAAGTGTGCATTCAAGCGTCCACATTTGTCGCAAAAAAGGTCGTGATAGGGAAGGCCAAATTACACCTCCTTTTGAAATTTGTCTCAGGAGCAAACGGCCTTATGGCGATCAGTTATACCTCCACCGCAGTAATCAAAGGTTGACTTCATGACCTTGAAACGGGACCAGTTAGGAGGAAGCGGATTTACTATTTGCACGAAATAAATTCGTCAAGAAAATATTCTTTGCTAATAACAGGATTTACTGATCAACCGCGATATACAAAGATGGCAGTTGGGAGCATCATCCGTGACCCTGTGGTGCAGTTCCATTTGGTTGAAGGGCCATTTCAACAACGATCAGAGGGGCTACATCAAGGTGGGCGGAAAACGACTTCTTTGCCTAGAAAATCGGAGGGAATAAATCCGACCTGGATGCCTAAAGGGCTTTTGAATCCTCCCTTCCTCGCCAGAGGAGGGTTAAATAAAGTGTCCATGGCACTGGATCAACCCCCAACAACTTGGCAAATTTCTCCGAGGGAGGACTTGCTGCACTTTCTCGGATGAGAGAAAGCGCGGATGGCACATCCCCTGGACCCAAACGGTGCCTCCAAAAGTGACCTAGAGGCATACCCGTAGAAAAAAGTTATCCAGTCTCTAGCACTACCATCTAAATGACCTTCTTATCAAAGTAGTTCACCTTGAAGAATGTAGGAAAACGGGGTGGTATTCAAAAAGGTCTAGCTTACCCACCAACGTCCACCACTGGCAGCAGGCAGAAAGTGAATTAATCGTACCAGCCGCGCTGGGTGCTACTAATTAGCGGTTAGTAGTAGGTCATACCAGGGCCCAAAACGAGATAGGTAGAAGGTCGAGCAACGGTGACCTCAAGAGAAGGAAGCTATCATGCAGGGTAATGTACGGTTACCAGCATAAATTCTTCGCTCTTGTGAGTTGTACCCAATCAAGACATCCGACTCTATTAGGAGTACCAGTGAGTCCATCAAAGCGCCACTTTTATTATTAAAAACCAAATTTTTAGGGGGTTATTTGATCCAAGTTCTTAAATGTCCAAGGTCATTGTCGTGACGGCACCCTAGTTATCGTGTCACCTCACTAAGGTGCTGGATCAATGGCTTCTGAGTGGAGAGCCTTCCAATTGGTTGACACTGTCCTACACTCTCCACTATCCCCCCATTCCCCCCAAGCCCCAAAGCCGAGAAGACCCAACTTCTGTAATTCAACATGTGGCCTTTGTTAACCAGTCGCAAAGGTGGCTTATTTTATGGACAGGTCAGAGTAAACACTCCATGTCGGTGCTTTTTCTCACCTTAAAGTTGTTGGTCATTTGATGCCGCTGTGTTGCATCGGTGAAATTCTGCAGCCAAAATGTGGCTCTGGCTATGTATTGACGCTTGACAGCCGACATGTCATTAATGTTAAGTAAATAAAATTGTCAGCTTTTTTTAGAGGCAGATTTTACTAGTAGTCAAGACCAAGTCCTTTCTCCGGGCAAAAAATTAGTCGCTGGGTTGTCAAGGTGAGAGGGAGAACATCGGCAGCATCAAAATCAACAATGTCAAGAAATTAGGGATGGAATTGATGTTTGACGCCTCAGCTATTTGATGCCAGAAGTGCACT